TCATGTGATATTATCAATTCATCATGATAATAATAATATTTAGTAAAATATTAATTGATTTAATAAGTGATGTCTTTTCTTCGATTCTTCAAAATGAAAAGCAATGATCTCGACAAACCAAGTGATTCTTTTAAAAAGCATAAAATCCAATAAACACAATATTCTAAAAATATACCAGAAAACCTTGTATATTTTATTTTTAATGCTCTTCCGAAAGACTATAACTCTGATTATTTATTTGAGCAAAAAATTTTTATAAATCTGAATCTGGGACGCAACAAAAAAATTATTGAAGAAAACATAATGAATCCAAATAGTAATAAATAGCTCGATAGTGTCAATAAAACTTTGAGTCATTGCATAAATTGAAAGAGGATTATAATCATTTAAAAGACAATGGAATGTTCCAAATACTTAGAAAAACCGTAAGCATAATACTTTCTTGCTGTAATAAATATTACGTTTACTGAATTTATTCGAAATAAATAATGATTAATTTATTGCTTATCGATATTATTTTGTTAGTCTATAAATTTTTGTTTGTATTTTTGTTTAAGTTACATGGATTTTTGGTGCTCGATATATTTGTCATGTGACGTTCGAAACTTTTTTGGGTGGCGATTTTACCCCCGGTCGTATTAGAAGCATATCGGCGGATCTGCATAGTTTAATAAATAAAGGAACCCATCAATTATAGCCCCAGTCAAAAAAATTGTAGATCATTTGACTAGATTTTAATAAGTAAAATAATTAAATTTGGCCAAATAATCGACAAATTTGCACTGCAGGTTTATTTATTAGACTGTACAGATCCGCCGATCTGATTGGAAATGCATTTATTAATAAATCTAATTGTAGGGATGTTAAACTGTTTAACTACTTTGAAAATCAAAATATAAATTTAATATATCAAACTACTAGAGCTAGTTCAGTTTATATAGTAAACTCTAACTCCTATCGAATTGGATTGAAAGTTTCCAATTCAATAGCCTTTTTTGCTATTTGAAACTCTGATTAACCGAGTGAAGAGTATTATGCATTGTTAAATAAGTATTTATACTCTAGTCGATTAGGACTAATACCTGAATCATGGATGATTTCGATAAAGAAAAGGGAAATAAATCTTCATTTAAATATTTCAAAAACACTGACCCTAAGGAATAGACATTTCAAAATTACAAAACATATGCGAACTGGATCTCAAAATATTCGGACAAGTTGCTTACCGAATTTTATCAGTTCAAGAATATCAGTGTCTTTTAAGTTCTCTTATCGACCCAATTACATTTAACATTAAATGTGTTGAATCAGTTAAGTTTATGAACTCACAAATCAAATGTTAATAAAAGCATTCAGCCAAATTTGAAGATTATTGAAGCGGAAATAATGGTTCATATGCTCGTAAACAATGTCTACACATGCTCACTCTATCTTTATTTTTATTTATTTATTTTTTTTTTTAGAGAACAAGAGCACTCGTGGAAGAAAATAAAAACTGACGCAAGAGAAATTAAATACATGGATAAATGAAAATAAACACGACCCAAAAAAAATAATTAAGTGAAGTTTTATCTCCACTAATAGAAATAACGATGAGCGACTTGTCCTTGAATATGATTTCTGAAATGTATGGGTAATCACAATTTATATATATATATATTTGATTTTTTTTCTATATAATAATTTGTTGTTTTTAATAGGGGAAGAATCGAGTTTTGCTAATGAATGAAAAGCTCATTCGATGTGCACGTAGACCCGATTATAAATTATTATAGAGTTAAAAAATGTTAATAGAGATCGGATTTATTGAAACAGACCGACTAGATTCTTCTGATGAACAGTTAAGAGATAAAGAAAACTTAATAGATTTGCGAAAGATTACAATTGATTTTTGCAGGAGACATCTTGGAACTCCATTGCATGGTGAAAGATGCCACTTTATATAAAAACTATCTTCTGAGTAGAGCTGTCATTCTTTTTCATGTCCTCCTTTTGAAACCCGAAGATATTATCCCGTTATTCATACGTTACCAACCTTTAGAATTGCAAAAATTTGCACAGTGTATAAAATTACGGATATTTATAATTCTTTAGATATGTCATTGATTATTTCTTAAGGGTCGAATATATAGCAGAAAGGAATATATTAATGTAAATATATTTTTTACTATTTTATTTTTTTAATGTAAGAAATGTTGTTACCGATGCTAATAAAACGTATATTTTTAGTACACAAACGCTTCCGATCCAGAAACACAATCTGAAGCCGAAGCAATCCCTGAACTAAGCCTGTATAATTATTGTTCTATATCAACGATTGCATCTACTTCAAATTTTACACATCGTTCTCTCAATTTGTGTTAATTATTAATTGACGCATGCCATTTTCAATTTGAAAATGACATTTGTCGTTTTCAATTGGTCTAACTTTATGATTAATAAAAAAATCATTACAATGCATTTAATTTATGTTTATTAATCGACGCGCGAAAATTGAAAATGATTATTGCTGAACATAAGACTTGCATAATAAAACTGATTAATCATGTTATATATTGCTATTAGCGATGAATATAATATAAAAAAAGTAATTCTTTTACTGTTGTACTTTTTTTCTTCATAGTTTCCTGGTTCGTAATACCTTTGATCAAATACTTGAAATTCATAACCGATAAAAAATAAACATAATTTGAAGATTTGGACCTTCACTGCAAATGGTCTAAGCAAAATACTACTTGCTATACCGATCGCCAAACAACTTAAGTGCTATTTCGTTCCTAATGTAATAATGACACATGTCATTTAATTAATTGAGAAATGGAGCGAAACAGGTACACCTAAGAACGGCAAAAGTTTTTATTACGCAATTAATGATTATATTTAAATCCAGATTAACTATTCTGGCTTTAATCATCACCTGTTTTAAATCGGTGAAAAAATATTTAAAAATTTTTTTTTGACCATCCATAGGTACACTACACTGTACATGTAATAATTTCAAAAAAATTATACATTTTTATTTCGTTAAGATTAGGTTTATTTTGAGGTTATAATTTTGAGTTAGAAGTTTATAAACAGCAAAATTATGAGGAAAATTTTTTCTTAGAGAGCAAACGTTGGTCAACTAGGCTAAAATCTCAGATGTTTTTGATTTCTTCAAAAGAGCGTTTTGATCCTATGATCCATAGTTCCGGACAGAATTATGTTAGTTGTGGGCCGGAATTATTTTAATACCGACTGAATTGAATGGTTAAACGGTTAACCAATTAGAAAATTTTTAATCCCTAAATTTATGGCCAATTGTTTTAGTTTGAATTTTGACAATATACAGGAGGGTTTTATATGGCCAAGATTAGTTAAATTCGTACAATATTTATGGTCAAATTGGCAATACTGACTGACTTTGCTTACTGTTTATTTGAATTAAGTTACAATTTTTTTTTGGTGACAATAAATTGCGACTTGTGATTCTAACCGGTTAACTGATCCATGTTCTCTTTGATGAATTGCAGTATTAGATGGTTATTCGGCTAGAATCACAAGTTCTGACATATGATCGAACAAGTTGATTGGGCGTCGAAAACATTGATACACAAGTACGTACGTACGTACGTACATTAGGCATGAAAGTGCCTCTGGCCTTACTGGGTCAGCTTCGAACACAGATGCTGTTTACAATTAAAGAAATAATATATCGATATGTCTCTCATAATAAAAGATATATAATGTATGGTTGCCTTATTACTAACAGGATCCCGAATAATATTAACAGAGGTTACATGGAAATTTCTTTATCCACTTTTTCTGAATTTTGATTGGCTAAAAAATTTTTTAACCAATCAGAATTGCGGAATTCGTCAGAATTTTGGCTAATTTTTGCCTCTTTTCATATGTAACCTTTGTTAGAATTATTTGAGGTCCTTTACTAACACTATTAACGTTAAATAGTTAAGTGTACGTACGTACATACGAGACAAAGATTTCTATAACCATGCACGGAGTTGCAAGACATGAATATATGTAATACAGTACATATAATTTTTCTTTAAACAGCACGATATAAAAATAAATTAGCAATTGATTCGTTCTTCATGTCACACAACAAGTAATTCGTATGTACGTACGTACGTACATAAAGAACGTGCATAATAGTAACAAGAACAGAAAGCCATTGTCTGATTAAATTTGTCAACTACCATATCAAAAAGGTAATGATCAGTTTTATTTATAATCGCCAATGAAGATCAAATGATACATAGCTTTAACTGTTTATAGTCTGTAAACATTACGCGTGCAGTTGGATGTTAAATGGGGCGGCACGGGTCCTGAAGTTGGATTAAAATCTGATTACAGGAATACGTACAGTAAGCTCCAAAAGTTTAGAGTGGTTACACCAAAATCATAACGCAAAAAAAAAAAAATTAAAATAATGAAATAAAAAGCTAATCATAATATTAATTTAATGATTAATATTATGATTAGTTTTTTTATTACGTTATTTTATTAATTTTTTTTGCATAAAATTTTGCTATTTCGTTGTGTAACCGCCCTAAACTTTTGAAGCTTACTGTGCGTACGTACTTATTTCAAGTTTAAGCAATTAATTGTTTGTACGTACGTACGTACGTACGTTTCATATGAGAGAAAACCTATTTCTAAATTAAATGTTAAAACACGAACATACTAATATGTATGTACGGTATCCTTAAATTATTGTGGTACGAATTTGATTTAGAAATATAATAATGAATTAAAGTTTCGAGAATGTCTGCTGCAGCCCACCGAACTATATATAAATAGATGCGTAATAAATTCAAATCTGATTAAAACAAGCATTGCTATGGGGTTTTTGCTTTGATAATCACCTTTCGACATTCCTGATCAGGATAATTCGAACAAAATAGACCAACCTACTTTATTGATCCAATAGTTTGTTAAATAAACAGCAACGGTTTGCATTGAACATTTTGCATTAAAGTAACATTATATTGAAGTAATAAATGGATAATGAACAAATTAAACCGGATAATGGGCAAATTTATCCTGATAATGAGCAAATATCAAAGTTAAGCTCATCCTACGTAAGGTTAATTGGGATCTTTACGGGGATGGGATTTAGCCTGAATATCATAATCGGTAGTGGTAAATACATATATATATATATGTTTCGTATGATTTTCATTATTTGACTTTATATGGGGAAGTCACTTTTGCACTTTAAAATAGGCATTTTTGTAACACCCGGCGACGTTTGGAGGCTAACGGGATCGCCAATTGTTAGTCTTGTCTTTATGATTTTGGGCGGACTAATTAGCTTCCTCGGTTGTCTGATTTATGCTGAGGTAATTTTAACTTAATGAATTTCGAAAAGTCACGTGATGGTTCTTTATCTTATTCCTCAATTCAATAGCTGGGCTCTATGCTTCCTAGAGGAGCGGGGGAGCTCCGCTACCTCGAGGAGGCCTTCCCAAACCATCGGAGCATTATTGCACACACGTTTTCTTATGCCATGTTAACGTATGTCATACATTTTAAACATGGATGCATATTTAAATTTATTTACTGTAATTGTGTTTCATTTACCATTGTGTTTCAATTGCAAAGTATTATTCGTCCCGGAGCAATCGTTGGGGATACGTATGTTGGCACCCAACATCTTTTATATTTGATTCGGGGGGACAATGATTCAGCGCATTATTTGTGAGTGAATGCTATATTTTAAATATTGAATTTCAACATATCAACATTGGCAGACTTTTTTTATGTTTAATTTTTATTTATTAGTGAAATTCGATTACTATCAGTGGCCACCTTGTTTATTATTACTCTATATAATGCTGCTAATAATAAATTAGCAGTTCATGTAAATCAAACACTTGCCATATTCAAAGTTATGGCAATGTTTTCTTTCGCTGTTGCAGGAATAATAATTGGCTCAAACAGATATCAAGGGACAAATGCGTTTCATAGCACAATAAATAGGAATATTACTCCTGTAGAACAAATTGGAAGCTATGCTGATGCTATGATAAAGGTTCGTTAACTATAATATATCAAATATTTAATAGAATTGTTGATTTATGCTTATAATCTATTAAAGATTATTGGTCTGAATTTATTTGGGATTAAGTCTATTATAGGTGATACCTCCAATCAAGTTTTCACAATCACTAAGCTGTATCATGTGATCATATTGATACGGATTGCGGAAACATTACCGGAGGCGTCACCTATAATAGACTTAATCCCGTTATTTGTTTAAAATATCTATTAAAAATTATCTATTTAAAATTATCTATTTAAATTATAAAGGTTCTGTATGCATACGAGGGTATGTAAATTAAAATTCTTTATTCGCGTCGAAATAAGGATCATAAAACATATTCTCATTTTTTTTTATGATTATATTTAAGGTTGGAACAATGTCAACTGTAAGTATTTTTTTTCTACAATTTATAAATATTTATGAAAAATTAAAGTGACTAATGAATTATTCAATTGATTTCTTGTAGATTTAGTTGATGAATTTGACCGCCCCCGGCGGAACCTAAAATTTTCGAACATCTTTTCGACATTAACTGTAATAGTACTATGTATGATTAATATCACAAATTCATTAAAGTTCAATTATTACATTTTATTAATAACAATTTTATTTTTTTGATATATAGACATCCTGATTCAGATTTCGTATATTATGGTTGTAAATCCTGACGATGCTACCATTAATCATGATGGTGATGCCAGCCGTGTGATTGCCGTATTTTTTGGCGATAATCTTGATAAAAATATAGGCAGAAAACTTATTTCTGCCTTTATTTCAATTTCATCCTTCGGCGCCGTTAGTTCAATGTGCTTCACGTATGTCAAATATATATATTAATTTTATTAATTAATTAATAAAATATCATTTATTGCTTATATTAATAATTAATAGTGGGGCTCGAATTATCGTTTACTCTTCACAATCGAAGTTCATACCTAAATATTTTGCTGAGTGGAGTTTATGGTTTGTTCCTAAATATTTTGCCAAATGGAGTTTCTTATTTAACACACCGACGAGAGCCCTATTTGCACAGTTTATTTATTGTGCGATTTTGATTATGTTCTTTCCAACAAGTAAGCATTAAGGCACAATATGGGTTTGAAAATATTATTAAACTAATTTAATGTTTGCATTTACCAACAGGAATGATAGGAATGAATTTTTTTACATTTTTTGCCAATATATCATTTTATTTAGCACTTATATATTATGCCGCAAGTGCGGCTGGCTTAATGGTATGTTGTAGAAATTTTATTTTTATTAATATACTTGATATATTTTTTACAATAATCAAATCGTTTCCAAATTAGATTTTAAAAAAGAAATTTCGGGCTATTCAGCGCCCCTTTAAAGTACGTTTCTTTTTGGACAAAATCTTTTTAGCATGCATGGTTTTGATTGGAATTGCTGCGTTATTCCCACTTCCAAGTGAGGAAAAGAGGCCACTTTATTATTTACCATATGTTATTTCGTACGCTGCTATAACCATAGGAGTGATTGTTATCTATGTATTTACAAAACAAAGTCAGGGCTAAATATAAGGCTGAAATTTCATAAGTTTTATAATTGTATATTTTTTATTTATCGTAATGTAAATGTATAAAGAACGATTTTGTAATAAAATAAATAATATATATATAATAAAGGGACGAAATTTACAATTTTTTCAAAAGAATTTCTTTACAAAATCAATTTAGAATAAGATTAGGATCATTTTTCACTTAAAACACAATAATTGTACTGTAAAAATGTAATATAGCTCTTTAAAGTTTAATTGATTTTCCGAAGATCTTTTTTTTTTTGTCAAACTCGTCCCTTTTCTCAACACCTAGAACATATATATATATAATACATTATACTAAATATATTATTAGCGTAATTTTACATTATTCCTTCTAGGCACTAGGACGATGATTTCCTGTGATTCACAGATAACCACAGAATTTTTCTTAATCACAGCCAACCACAGAAATCATTCTTAGTCACCGCAGAACATCACCGAATTCTCAATATCACAGAATTTTAAATATCGCAAAGATTTGATTATAAATTTAGGCCAGCATTGGAGAAACCCGGAAAGCAGAAAATAAATCAACACAAATTCGAAATTACGATATATATGTTGTAGATGGATATGAAATATCTATAGATCCTGAATCTACTTAAGTGAATTTTGGATGGGAATTGAATATTTAAGGTGAACAAACAAGTAAATTTATTATATTATATGTTTTTAATCATAGCAAGCATAAAATCATATGTTATCATGGATAACACTCGCAAATCAGTGCACAATTCGTACTAGTCACAATAAATTTAGCTTGGCAAACTTCAAGTCGTTACATTCGATTAGTACAAGTGGCATAAGTCCATTCAACTATAGGTGCTATCTAGAATATGAATCTAACAATCTAAAACTAGTATTATACAGTTCTTTCTGAATTATAAACAGTTTATTTGTGTATAATTATATAGACTTGAAGATTTCATCAAAAATTTGTAATATAATAAAAACTATTGTATTACAAATTATTATATAATTCATCTCTATAAGATTTATTAAAGCAATGCGATTTCAGATAGGCAAAAAAATGATATTTTAAAAGCCAAATTAATGCCATTATGGCAAAATATTAATATATATTATCAAATATAGAAAAAATATCACTTTTCACCCGTTTAATTTCAGGAGTTTGGGAGGTTTCATGTGGTCGTGAAGAAGGCGAAGAGGGCGTTGATTTACGCTCTCTATGTGCTCTTGTAATTCGTGAAATTTTATCATGAAGTGATAACAATGTATGCTGTATTAATAAAGACACGAAATTTAGTGATTGATAGAAATATAAATTATATCAGTAATAAAAAACATACTCGAAGTCCAAGCAAAGTCTTAATAAACGTTGGCAAAAGGTCTCCCATTGCTGAAGGAGTTTTTGGTACATCCACAGCTGCCATTTCCGTAAAGAAATAAAATTTTAAATCATAATCATACGATAGAGAATAAATAGACCAATGATGACCTATGATTTTATTGAGACAAAGATGAATTAAATCATATAAAATTTAAATATATACAGTGTATATGTCGTGCATTAGATTAAAATTTACATCAAATCAAAATTTAAATGTGGAGTTTTATTAAGGTTATGGTGGGTCCTATGTTAGAAATTAGCGGGATTATAATGATTTTAATCTGACGCAGATTTTAATTTGACGCACAACATTCATATATATATACCAGTAACTTGAATTCCAATAGTAAAGATTTCTGCTAAATCCTTTTTATTGAAGTGAAGCTTATTATAAAAATCGTCCATCATGTCCTTTAATTCAATCTTTAAAGCAGTAAGATCAAATTGTATCTTAAATTCATCATTCTTAATATCGGTGTTTCCAACTTCTACTGTCATAATTTCTACATTAAAGTTTCGAAACTCCAAAGACATGTCTAACTTAGTAGTATCCGTGTTTAATTTTGTATATTCAGCATTAAGCCTTTTTCGTTTTCGGGAATTGATTGCATTACATATTTTTTCAATCCTAAAAATTTTTACAAATAAAACAAATAAATTCGCAAACATTAAACATATGAAAAATGCTTAAATATATATACCAAAATAATTCGAAATGTCCGATATTAAATTCTTGCAGTAAATCTCCAAATAATGGGCCTAAGATCGTTAATATATAATCACGTTCCCTGAGTGGAATTGTTAAGATGTTGATCTCACGACGACAACATTTATGGCTGTAAAAAATAAAATGTTTTAGAAAACAAATGGCACCAAACTAATATCTTAAATTAGATACTTACAAGAAGGAAATTATTTCAGATGCTAATATAGCATCTTCAGAACCGATAGTTGAGAGTTGAGTTTTCCACTCTTGTAAATCATTCAAATTTCTCTGCAATTTGGTTGTATTATTGATCATTACATTACCCTTATGAAAAACAAGAGGAACCGTTAATGTTGCACAACTAATCCAACAGGCGAAGTATTATATCAATAACATTAACGATAGGGTGATTCAATATTGTAAAATAATTTTTTATGAACCGTGCACTAGGTGAGGGATTAGTTGTGCAACATTCTAGTTCTTACAAAATAACAAATCCAATTGTTACTTATTACCAAATTGTTTGATGGGTTATCAATGAAATCCAAAACTTTTTTATCTATTTTTTCCTTATCCAATTTCTTATTAAACGATTTCATTAATGCGACTTTGTCTTCATGCTTTAATATCCTGGACCATTCCAATTTTGTCCAATTGGTAAGGCCTATAATGCGAGATTCAATTGATCTGTAATTATGTATTGATTATATATAAAATCATCGTGAATCATTATTAAAAGTCACGTTAGCATAGACAAAAGACTTACTGCACTCTAATTTTGTTATTTTTCAAACGTTCTATTGCTATACTCCAAATGTCTTCCAAGCTTTTTGACATTATAAATTGTTTTATCTGTAAATAACAACCAAATTAATTATAAAGAACCGTGTTTAACAAGATCAGAGGAACTTACCATATCGTTTGTCACTCTTTCATATAATTTACTCTTATCTGCTTCATCAGCAATAATTACATCTTCATTTACTTTTTCATTGACATCGTCGTCCTATAATTAAAATATTTTTAAGCTTTAAAATTATGAAAATTTTATAATATACTGACAGACTCACCTTTGATTCCGTATCTTGAAAGACGAGTCCATCTTTCTGGGTTCTTTCTTCTTGCACTACTACTATTGCTTCAGAAGACCTTTATATAAGATTAAGTTAGACATAATCGGCAGAAACGATTCTATGTGATTTTTAAAAAATACCATTGGTTTTCAGAACTACTGATTTCGTTGACAAGCGATGTTTTTATATTTGTCTGCAAATTGAAATTGATTATAAACAGGCCATTGATGAATTTGAAGTAAAAAAGTGTTTCAATTTTGAATCACCTTAGCTAGTAGTTCACTAAGTGATAAACGAACTTTGGACTCCGCAATTTCTTTACCCCTGCTCCAGATAATATCATATAATTCTGATGATTTATTCTTACGTTAATAGAGATTGAAAAAAAAATTAGAACAGTTAGTTAAATTTTTAATATTATTGATTGTAATATACAGCAATCTATTTTGGACAAAGTAATTAGGTTGCACACACGAAAGAATCATAATAAATGAAGCCATCGTGCTTCTCCTCCCCATCAGGTTAGAACGCACCCAACCTTCCTCGAACGCACCGAGGGGCGTAGTAACATGTCGACAAACTGTTTATACATTTCACATAAACTGACCTTCAAACGTTTCTTTAACGACTGCGATTTCTCTATTACCCTTTGATCAGATGACTTTGAGAGGATCAACAACTCGATCGCTAATGAAGTATGAGCTCGATCCCGATTTTGATATAAATTTGGATTTTGTTGAATCCAGAAAATGTCAAACGATTCAACAGACCAATTCTGAAAACTGGTGCTTAACCAATAGTCTGTAGAACGAAGCTAAATAAGTATTCTAAAACGATGTGTATGTACAATAGTTAACATAAATGTAACTTACCTTTATAGTGGAGATTAGGTGGAATTAAAATCTGGGTAGAATTGAACTCTGATACTTTATAGAAAAGTTAATATTTAAATTTGAGAAAATGAAATAAAAATAAAAATTCACATCAATCGCGTAATCACGATGTCTTTTTGACTTTTTTTTTTTTTGCTTACCACTGGATGAATCCATTGCTTCGCGACACGACTTTAGCAGAGAATAAAAGCACAAGAACCGGGAAATAAACGCGTTAATTATAAACAAGTTCAATAGGAGAACGTTACAATGTCTGTCAAAAGTTTCTCCGCACCTATGATAAAGCTTTATAAAATGATTTTAACAAAAATAGAAAAAAAAATCTAAAAATGTCGTCACAGGGGTGAATGTAATTATTAATTATGCAATGATCTACAAAATCGGGGCACTCGGGACGTATAGATTTTTTTTTTGTTTTACAATACTTTTTTCGGTAGATCATCTACTCTATGAAACGCGGTAGATTATTAATGAAACTTGAAGTTCTCACTTTGCTCTACAACATATTCATTTAATCCATTTTAATCCAACAACTTTCATATAGCACTTCACCAGTCGAAGTTATAAGCAATTAACTATCACTACGCTGACAAAATCTCGTTTGTTGAACAAATTAAAATAATGGTTAACAACGTTAGTATAGGAGGAAGGAATTAGTTTGTATATTTTTTTATTATAAGTGCTGTACAGAAATCTTCTAGAAAATCGAAAATATACGAATAATATTAATTAACTGTAATTTATGAATATTAACACTATAGAAGTTTTTAAAATACGATAAGAAATTTATATATGATGTGTATTAAAATTACAAAGATCTATAAAAATAATAGTTTTGTAAGATAGTATAGTGTAAAAGATTAGAAATTTGAGTAGACGTAGAATTAGACACAGAATTAGTCGTAGAATTAGACGTAGAATTAAATATATATATGTAGATTATTATTATTGAAGTTTTGTAAATAAATAAAACAAATACTATGGAAAAATTAATAATCTTGATTTAAATTAATAAATGATTGCTGCAGAGCGAAAAGCTGGAAGTGAATACTTGAAGATTTCACTATGGCGTAATTCATCATGTGTACGATCAGTTTCGATAGTATATATCATCTTAATATAGAAATACAAATTAGGCTCATCGGCTCTATTAA